ATGGATGGTGCGATTAATGGTGATTTGAGCTCTGGTTTCGAGAATTTGACATGTGTGCGATGTCACGACGGCTTCGATTTGAATGAGCAGATTGTAAATTCTTCCGGACAAGTATGGCATTCTGATTGTTTTGTGTAAGTTTCGATCATTTTATGTGCGCCAATTTTTGTTTTGAGAAAGTTTTAAAACAGAATTTCGTTAGCAAAGTTGATAAATCTTCGGGATTGAGACTATCAAGTTATACTTGTATACGTGTGTATGTTTGCATTGCTTTCATATTGAAGTTCGGCTGGACTTCCACCTCATTCCTTCATTTTTCTTTGAATCTCAGATCTTCGCGACTTACACTTTTGTCACGATAAAATGTTTGTCCTAACTTATTTTTATTTGATAGTTCTGCGCTGAGTACCTTTCGTAATTTCAGGTACAAAAATAGAACAAGAAAAACTTGAAGTATGCTTAAATTTTTCTCTCTATACTCCAAGTTGTTACGGAAATATATTTAATCCATGTCTGATTTATTGCAAATTGGATGAATAGAAGTTAAAAAAAAACTTTGTTTCTTATGCCTTATTTTCATTCCCGGGTGTTCGACGGTAACGTAAATTATTGGGAAATACTTAGGCTTGAAAAGGGTTTTATACAATATTCTGATTTATCTCATGTATTCAAACATAGTTCATCCTATGTATTCAATTCCTCCTCTATTTCGCTCATAAAACTTCGATAAAATTGAATATGTTAAAAAATATTTAGCTGCTGACAATATTTTTGTATTTATTTCTTTTCATATTACTATTACACACTATTCCTTTTACCATTATATAGATAGATATGTTACAGTTGTTCCCAATGTTTCGAGCCATTTCCGGATGGCATATATTTCGAATTTGACGGACGAAAATATTGTGAGCATGACTTTCACGTATTATATGCGCCATGCTGCAACAAATGTAGTATGTTTTCTATTTATTGTTTTTATTGTTTTTTTCAACAAATGTAATATGTTTTCTATTTATTGTTTTTATCTATTTATTGTTTATATTTATTGTGGTATTGCTCAACGTAGAAAATCGATTTAAATTGGAAGTATTGAATTTCTTCTTTACATTCTCAAATATTTAAAAAGTTTTCTTTTTATTGTTCTTTCTTTTACCCTTTTTACGATGGATATTCGACAAAAGATGGCATTTAGAAAAGTGTGATTCACACGCAAAATCTAGATAGAAAATGCACATGTCAGCCATTAAGAAAACTGCTATTCCTTCAGATGAATTTATTGTGGGACGAGTAATAAAGGCAATGAATGCTAATTGGCATCCTCAGTGTTTTCGATGCGAATTGTGCAGTAAGGAACTTGCTGATATCGGGTTCTTGAGAAACTGCGGGAGGTATGTTTAAATTTAACCTTGAACCCAATTATGGGAGTATTCTGGGAACCTGATAACAAAAAAAAAATAGATTGGTGAATTTGATGGAGTTGACTTGCAAAACAATACTTGCAGTGAATTGTGTGCATTATTCCAGATGTCTTATGATAATTAGCAAAGGAACAAAAATCTTTTACCATTACGGAAAATTCGTATTTATGTGAAGATTTACTATTATATATTTCAGAGCGCTTTGTCGCGAATGTAATGAACGAGAAAAAGAAGCCGGACGTGGTCGTTATGTATGTCATAAATGCAAAGGCATTATTGAAGATGGTGGCCATATTAAATATCATGGCGATAGTTTCCACCCATATCATTTTAAATGCAAACGTTGCGGGTAATTTTTAACTCAAGTTGCCAATTAATTTTAGTCAGAGTTTAAATGAGTAGGAGAAGGATCGAATGAAGACATGGAAGTTAATTTTGTTAGATAATGTTCTATATGTTTCGTAGCAATTGAAGTAATGTATGAAGGCTTAAGCACATCTTTTAGTGTGGAATTAGATACGAATTCACGTGAAGTTGGTGGAGAATTGTATTGTTTGCGATGTCATGATACAATGGGTATACCAATATGCGGCGCTTGTCATAGACCGATTGAGGAACGAGTAGTTACTGCATTAGGCAAAAATTGGCATGTTGAGGTTTGAACTATCATTAGATAGTTATAATTCTTTTTTTGAGTTCATTCTCATTATATTTTATTTTATTCATAGTTATAGTTTGGATTGTGTTTGAGTACCACACTTAAGAAATAATTTAAAAAGCAGGAAGAAAACATAAACAATAGAAATTTTCCAGCATTTTGTTTGTGCTGTTTGTGAGAAACCATTTCTTGGTCATCGCCATTACGAAAAGAAAGGACTAGCTTACTGCGAGCAGCATTATCATAAGGTTAGTTTCCTAACTATTCATTAATTATTTGCCAAAAGACTCACAACTTGTACAAAAGAAGAAAAGGAGACACGAGTCGATGAGCATTTCTTTATTCTTTGGCAAATTTTTCTTCTACTTCATGATTATGTATTCATTTTGCTGTTTTCTAAAAATCTCATTTTGATACTAGATTATCGTCCGGATTTCTAATCATGAATGTAAGAAAAAAACTTTTATATTTCAGTATGTTCACCACCAAAACTATGAGTGAAAAAAGACTGCGTTATAGATCATTTATCAAACAAAGTCATGATACATAGTGTTGATGTCGATTTTTTTAAAAAGGGCTCATTTCTAGCACGTGACTATAATATTGGTTTGCATAACTCTAAAATTTAGCTGTACGGCAATGTGTGCTTCAAATGTGGTAAAGTATGCAGTGGTGAAGTATTCCAAGCGCTTAACAAATCCTGGTGTGTTGACTGTTTTGGTTGTAGTCTTTGCGATAAAAGAATGGATCATAAGTATGTAGTTTTGTTAAGTATTTCTTGTTTTTCTGGCTTTTAAAAGATGGATTTTATAATTTCTACATACCTAAATTTTTTTAATTGAAAAAAAGTCTTGTGATGCACTTTATGCATAATAGAATCTCAGATCCAGTTTCACGCTACTGATTCCAATTTACACGTTGATTTTGCACGCGTGATCGATCCTTTTTTTGATGCGAAGTAATATGTGGATACCAGCTATAATTATATTAAGACTTGCATATCATGAATGATTAGGAAAAATGAAGAATTCCAATTGTGCCCTTTCATTTTTACATGATTTCTTATTCGTTCTAATCAATCTCTTCCGCTTTGAAATGCACTTTATAAAATTTCAGGACGAAATTTTATGAATTTGATATGAAACCAACATGTAAACGTTGTTACGATCGTTTTCCAACGGAATTAAAGAAAAGAATCAGTGACAGTTTGAAAGAACGAGATCTGGAAAATGAGAGAAATAAAATGGTATTGCAAAAACGATCTACCAGTCCAGTTCAGCAGCAAACAAATATTTCTAGAAGATGATATGCAGAGCTGGAACTTAACTTTTTGGTTATCCATGTTTCCATCAACTTCTACGTCGGAGATAGCATAAAGATTGATCCTCTTATTGAATATGATTTTTTGATTCTGTTTTTTGTCACTCTGTTCCCTTTTGGAAAATCCTATTGGTCGTATTACATCCCGCAGTTACCGAAAACGCTCAGTGTTTATGATATGTCGTGTTTCCCGCCCTCTAAACTGATTCCACAAAATTTGCCAGTTATCTTCTCTGTAGTATACTATGTCATTGTTAGACGCAAGCATGATGGTTTTTCCTATCTTTCCTTTATCATACGACAATGTAAAACATCTGTCACGTGTTATAAGTGATGTTAATACTAATACCTTTTTTGCTGTTTTGCGAGATTTGGAAAGCCTTTTTAAATGCAAATATGCATCTGCTGAATTCATTAGTGCTGCCATTATGTTTGTTTCACGTTGCTGTATAGTTTGTATTGGTCATCGTTATGTTTTTCTTTTTTTTTGATAATAAAGCCTTTGCGTCATACCTGTCTGTATAAAGAGCACAAAGTGCAATTTCTTATACTTTCGTATTTTATTAGTTTAGTTATCAGTATAAAAATTTTATAAATTAATCGCTACTTATTCGGTTTTCTTATGCAGGCACCTGCATCTATATTTTAATTTTTCTATGCCATGCACACGTATAGTGGAATCTAAAAGAATCATGTAATGTCCTGTCATGAAATCATGATATTTAACTTGCTCACGCATTTTAGGTAACATAATGCTATAAAATAAAACATAGTAGGGCATTTCAGGATGACTGGAAGTGAAAAATTTCTATTTATTCATTTTGTGGTTACATGCATTCTTTACAACAAAACCTGTTCTGCCTGGTGTTATACTCATTATTAAGAGTAGAAAAGGGGAAAGAGATTGGTAGAATTAGCATGCATTGCAAACGTATTTTAAATTAGAGACGAGATTTCTTCCTCACAAACCATATCAGTGACCATTTAGAAAGCGACTGTTAGAGATCATTTTTCATGTTAAACACGGAAAACGTTTTCCGTGTTAAACAAAGGTCGTTTTCCGTGTATTAAACAAGATCCAATGAAAACGAGAAAAAAATCCATCATTTCATACATTTCGGCCGTAGGAGACTTCGTTAATTTTGAGGATTAAAATTTTGCAGACACTATCAAGCTTCTCGATTATTCAAGAAATATAAAATTATACAGAATACATCCTAAGAGGATATAAAATGTATGAGAAGGGATGGAACCTTCTTTCTGGGGATTCCATCGGAAGAACTGCCTCAAAATCCCATCCACAAATCAAATTTCAAACATAACTTCGTTGAGAATAAAGAAGACATACTGAAGGATAACACTTAACAAATGCTGATCTTTTTACTCGGAACAGAGTTTGGGAAAGAAATGTAAAAATTAAAAATTAAGGGTGAAAATTATCGGAACTGGTCGATTCCATTTCCAGCAATTGCGTGTAATATATTTCAACCGAGAGGCTTAATAATCAGTAACAGTTTAAACTTGTAGATTTTCGAAAATCCTAATTTATGAATAGAATTCGGAAAAGCTTAAGCGATCCCGAGAAACTTTTCAGGAACTCTATGTCTACAGAAAAATTGATAGAAGCCGTCTCGATTGCGATGGACGGACCGCATATGACATATGGGGTGTGTGTGTGTGGTGCGCGCACGATTTTGCTTTTCTGAGGGCAGATGTCCTCAGACTGACATGGAAACCAATTCTGACTCTCAATAGCATTTTATTCAAATTATGTTATTCAAATTAGTTATACTTCATTTTCCGTTTTGTTGTCATTAAAGATAACTTTGTGAAACCTATTATATTTATAATTTGTCTTGGCTTACTATTTTGATTGAATCATTTCAGAGTGAGAATAGGCATGAGAAGGTTAGCAGTTGTTGTCCTTATTGGACTAATAATATCTCTCTTTGTTGTTCGATGTAAAATTCATCATCTTGCTTTAAGAGTATGTTTGCTTTCACGATAGTTTTACGATAAGAGAGGTGAAATAAACTGATGCACATCATTTGACTACTTTTGTCGGACATTTTAATACATTGTACATTTTGCTGGGTGCAATAACAAATTTGTTTCATTTATTGCTTAACATACGCGAAGTTAATCAAGAAAGAAAGGATAGAATTTGTATGAGTCAGATATTTAACACTGAACTTGCAGCAGGGTTAAAAAAATAATGAGTTGATTCGAAAATCTAATTGTTTCTGTTTCTATTAGTCTATTTTTCGTCAGAAAATAATGGACGGAGAGGATGTTAATTATCATCAAGCATTTAGTTGCCATCTTTTTAATGGAATGGTTCCTTACATTTCAAAAATAAACTTTTCTTTGGCAACTGAGCGATAAAGACAAAATGTTTTCTTACAAGCAAACAATTCAGCAAATAAGCAGAGAAAACACTGTAACAAATGATAGTTTTTTATTAACTACAAAACCGTAGATTCCTTGAAATTTAATTAAAAAAATATTTCATTTTTATTTATTGTGGCTAAGGGCGAGAAATGTCTCTACTTTCGGTTTTGTTGTAGAATGATGCACGCAGGAATATCTTGCTGACAACATTTGGGTACAACAAAGGTGGTACGTTTATCTTAAAGCTATATAATTTCACGGTTCCGGCAGAATTGGTGTCACCCGATGTGACGCGAGAACAGCGTAACACTGATCGATTCGTTTGTTTTATTTTTATCTTAATTCTTGAATCGATTATTATTTGTATTTATATCGAAGGGAATTTTATGGAGAAAAAAGGAATAGACCGAGAGAGAGGAAAAAATGGAAAAGGCTATGAAAGAGATATATGAGAAGGAAAACTAGAATGGATTATCTTTTAGATGTAAATGACTATATCAAGCGGTTGGTTGATTTACATTTACTTAAATTATTTAATATTCAGCAATTCGGAATTTTGCATTTATTGCAGGGTGTCATTGGTTTTACACTCTCACGAGGCAAAGACATACTGGATGGCGTTAGATCGAAACCGCATGTGTGTCAATTATCACAATTTGATCAAGGTGATATTTTTCTATATTTTTTTAATGCTCATTTTTTATTAATTTTCATGCAGACTGCAAACTTCTCTTGTTTTTAAAAAAATTGAATATAATGTGAACAGTTACCGGCAAGCGATTTCTAGGTTTTGATGCACTGTTCTTCGTCTTCAACTTTACCGAGAATGGTTTAAAAGTTATACGTACAGGATCAGTCTACGATTTACAGCTCTGTAAAAATTTAGAAAGGTTTTTCTTGCCATTATTTTTGAACTGAGTTATTGGATGTATTACGAATTATCTATTTATTTTTTACCTAGAATTTTGGTCATTGCATTTAGCACATGTTTCATATCAAGTGATTGTTGCAGATGACAATTAAGATAGTATGTTTTACAGAAAAACAATAATCAAATTTTTTTGTTTCTAATAATTAAATTGGTTAAAATTCCAAATTTTGAATTTTCTTGAAATAATTTTGAACCAAAAGCCGTTGGATTAAAATTAAATATTTTTTTCCAAGCATTGCAGTTGTCCAGATAAAACAGAACCAACATCGTTAGAGGCACCACCGAGGAATAACGCCGGGCTATCTGTCAAAGTTCGTTTCCATTTTTATCTTAGATATCAAGAAATGCTAAAAACAAAAAGCGCATTTAATGTAAATTACAATATTTGAAAACTGTTCTTTTTGGTTTTTCAATTCTGTTCATCTAAGTTAATTTCTACAGGATTCACCAAATGGACCAGGTTTTTTCGATAAATTATACAACATATTATTCCCAACGACTGCAACGAGAATACCATATAAAGATTATCTTCCTTTAAATCTTTCTGGAGATCAGTATTCTACTTCGGTTCGTAATTCGATATTCAACGAATGATTGAAAATTTTTAATGGCTGTAATGCTTCTTGATTTGAAAAAAAATACTAGAATTTATTGACTTGTATCAGTTGTGATGATTTAAAATGTGGGCAGAGAATTTAAGGTTACAATACGGTTCAAGGAACGGCAACAAGGCAATTACAATTTCATTTATCACAACTGTTTCAATTACCGAGCACATGGTTACAGCAATCAAGTTGCTGTACACTTCACTGTTTGTTTTTTTTTCTTTAATGTTTCATTAACACTAAATCCAGCGATCATGCAAAAAAAACTTAATATCTGTTTGTAATTTAATTTGGTTTAGGGACTCAGCAATGAAAAATTCATTCTTCTACATATGTTCTTCTATCTGACTCTCTATAAGGTTATTGCACGCAATCTACGTTTCATTCCAGTGTGATGCATCTAAAAAATTGAAGGTTGACATTGTCGAGCGTAATCCGGGATCATATCTTCCTGCTGGTGATATAGCAAAGCCGAAATTGTACTTATGCATGGCGGCAGTATTTACAATTGCCGCTTGTTTATGGATACGGAATATTTGCCATTCAAGGTAATACATGCTTCAGTTATTTCGACCATAAATTGATTTGAAAGTACAATAACACGGTTCTAATTGTTTCCTATTTTAGTTCGAGTACGATTTATAAAGTGCATCATCTAATGACAGCATTGGTTATCCTGAAATCCTTATCTTTATTTTTTCATGGTACCAATTATTATTTTGTCTCAGTATATGGACATCAGCGCGAAATTTGGGCTGTCATCTATTATATCACACATCTGTATCTTTTTCCACTTTATCCTCTAATTTAGCTTGCTTGAAATGTTTTGTAGTACAGTTAGAAATTTGATTTAATTTCTAGTTACATTAGCAGAAAATGGTTGGAGTTGTGAAAATTTTAAATTGATGGAAGTCCCCTTTTATCGTTTTATCTGTTTCATTTTTTTTTTTTTGTTTTTACAGATTAAAAGGTGCGCTCTTATTTGGAACAATTATTCTGATTGGTACAGGGTATACGTTTTTCAAGAAGTTTTTGACTGATCGTGACCGAAAATTGTTTATAATTGTTCTACCGCTTCAGGTTGGGTTGCTCGGGCTCCGTTTTATATTATTAATAATGTTAAGTAAAAAGTTGACAAAAATTACAAGTGCAGCAGTATGGTTTCATTACATCATACAATTAACATTTTTTTGTAAGATCGGAGCGAAGCAGATCGTTATGAAATACAAAATAACAAAGCTAGAGAACGAATATTGTGACAAATTGAGATATATCAAGTTGCTGAGGAAAAGAAATTAATTAGTGCTTAAATCAGTTAATTTAAAATTGATTTCATTTTCAATTCAAAACTTGGTGAAACATATTTCCTAGAAGTTTTTATATGAGTCATAGATCTACTGTCAGCTAGGTCTAGAGTCTTTTGTAATCTATTTGAAATCATAGTTCGGTTGTTAATGAAGTTATTCTTAAGGATCATATGAATGCGTTTTGTAGGTGATCGACAATGTTGCATTGATTATTATTGAAGAAAGTGAATTCGGGGAGCAGGGCTATCAATTATGGTTGCAAGCATTTATATTTTTCGACATTGCTTGTTGTTCAGCAATAATTCTTCCAGTCATATGGTGATTTGCACTACATCTTATGGATCATTTGCCACTACATCTTATTTTGTGTATCATTTGCACTTAAGAGGAAATTGAAGATATTAGAAATTCATTTACTATCGATATAATTCAGTTGGATTTTTCAGTTTATTTTATCACTAGAGGAATTAAAATGAATAGAGCGAGATTGATTTTGAGCTAAATTTAATAGAAATCACTGCAATTAGAGTAGCGAGACAAAATGACTTTTATCTCATGACACAATACAGTTGTGTCTGGAAATTGTTCAGATTAATATATGTATTTTCAGGTCGATGCGTCATCTACAGGAAGGTGCTCGAAGTGATGGAAAAACAGCTTTTAATTTAGAAAAATTGAAATTATTCCGACATTTCTACTTGGCCATAATTGGTTATATCTATCTGACTCGTGTAATTAAGTTCGTCATTGAGGTTAGCATTTTATATTCCTGTTCATTTTTTTCATCAGAAATAGCATTTCTTAATTCTCAAATATTTTTTCATCTACAGTTTTGAAATTGCCAGAACCTTTTCTTAATTTATATGAGGTGGTTTTCCACTGAAAATTTGAAAAACTCATAGAATAGATATTCAATTGCATTTCTGTTGTATTTGGTATAGAAATACGATCTGGCACAGTATCACATTTCCATACTCATTCTGAAATAAAAATTAAATCCAGTCTTTTAAATTACTGGAAGTTCTTGTACTGCGTTCTCTTAAAAAAAGAAAGAAGCCCGAACTTTGCATGTGCTTAATGCAACTATTATGATAGAGCTAAAAAACGATTTCAGGCGGTGGTACCTTTTAATTACGATTGGGTAACTGATTTCGTAGTTGAATTCTCAACACTTCTATTTTTCTTAACTGCTGGCTATCAGTTCAGGCCGCAGGAAAGAAATCCGTACCTCAAATTGGATCAAGATTATGACGATGGTGAAGCGTATGTTACTGATGTTCTATTCTTTTTTTTTTCAAAATTTCAACTTAATCTGGACATCTTTCATTTTCTTTAAAATTATGTAATATAATGCTTCTGAAGACAAAGAAGGAAAATAAGGATGAAATATTACCCGCTTTGCAAAGATTACTTGTTCAATAAACTGTTTGTCATATATATATATATATATAAGTTATTAATTAATTCACTGCCTAATAGCTTAAGAGGGTAAAATAAGGAGTTTCCGAATATCCTGAATCATCCATTGTGAAGTCTGAAAACAGCATCTGAAATTTTATCGTTTTTCAGTAATGAATAAGTGGCAACGATTTTGATTGAATTACAGATTAACAAAAAATGGTATTTTCGAGAATATTTCGCGCTTGAAACGAGTTTCTATACGTGATGAAACTCTAGATAACAAATCGGGTACTCTGGGTGCAAATGATATGGATTCAGAAGACAGTGCTCCAGAAGATATCTTCCATGAACGAGGAATAAAATCGGCATCGAAATCATCAATACTTTAAACTTATAATGAATTTCTTGATTAAAAAGTACTGCTTATTATGATTTGTCAGCAAATTATTTAAATTTCTGTTTGTCAATATTTGAAAGCCATTATAGGATGGAGGATATTTATATACTACAGTGCAGTTTATTCAGTACTGCATGTGTTGTTGGAATTCTGGTTAGATATTCACTACTAATGTATAGAAACAGGTTTTATTTCTTTAGTCTTGCCTTTCTTTCATTCTTTTTTCACTTATTTCATCTCTTAAATTATTAACTGATATGTATCCACAAATGGAATGAAGTCGTAATGAGGCCTCTCCTATCTACTATTATTTTGTATGGTTTAAATCTGTGCAATTGAAATGTTGAAACTGGCCCAAAATCTTCAGTTATTCATTTCTAAAAATTACAATTTTAATACATTTTCCGAGATAACTGTTCTAATTTAAAACTATATGTTGACTTTCAGTTTTTTACAGTTTCTATCCATAGATTCATCGTGCAATGGTACGTGTATATATTCGAAAAAAGAGGAATGCTTGATTACTTTTTATATAGTTTATTTGTATTTTTTGAAATAACGCAAATTCAATATTCTAAACGATTCATGCAAATTTATCTTTACTTATGTAACTTTTTTTACATTCGCTATTTGTTAAACATTATTTCTGGATTATGTGCAAGAACTAAGATAAGTACGCAAAACCAGGAGATGAATTTAAGATAAAGTTTATTAGAGATCAAAGGAATGTGAAGCTGCATTCTTTTTCTTACTTCATTGATCGTAGTTTACTGCATAATTTGTTTCATTTTTTTTTGCATTTATTTTTGTACAAATTGATTACTGTTATTGCAATTAAAGCTTTATATGGTATTATATCTCTTCTTGTTTTATTTTTTCCTCAATTGTTATGCAATAAATACATTTCATTAAATAGCAATGAGGAGTAATCACCTTACAGTTGTTGAGAAGCTTGCAGATGGATGAATGGTAGAAGACATGAAAGATTAGAATATTGGGATGAAATGATTAGGTCAGACTAAGTCAGCAGCAGACAGTATGTGAGTGAAGGAGTGGATATTATCATCTTAATATTGAATTTAAATTAGGGCCTTACAGGGCTCGAGATAGCATTTTCCCTTTTTTAAAATGTGTTTTTGTTTCACTTCTGATTTGTACAAAATCTAATGGCTAATATTTGTTCAACTTGGATGAGGACGGAGAAGACGCGCATTCTTTCTTTAGACGTGAAGGAAAAAAAAGGTTTAATTCATACATATATAATACTACTACTATTTTACGTAATTTGACGCATGCTCTGATAGTGTATCCGTGCCAAATAACCACGAACTCGACTCTGGAATTAAATTTAAGCGAGAAATTGAAATGTTCACGGTTTTTCCTTAGCAAACAAGAAAACAGAAAAGAAAAGAGATCATGTCAACTTCAAAACTTTAGAGGGAACTTCGTTTTACAGGTAAATACTTGTCAAGCTTGCAGGAATTTGTTTAGAATTTCTCTCCTTCTTTGTCACTATTAGAATAGATGTCACCTGTATGACGACTGCTGCTCGCTGATATTTCTGTCGCTGTCGTTTCTTACGGCCAATATAACCACGGTAGTATCTCTGGAAAGACTTTACTTAGCGTAAAAAAATTCATTATAATTATGGGAGTATATTACAGATAGAGCAATTAATTTGTTTTTTTATATTATTATATTTTTGGGCAATTTCTTGGGGTTCAAATGTTGATGAAAATTTTCTTAATGTCCCAATAAGAGTTACTTTTTTTCGGTTTTATTGTTGTTTGAGTCTACTTATTATGTTGGTTTTCATTTTTTTGTTGTTATTGATAACTGTGATATCTCACCTAAGGCGTGAACCACATTTTTGTTTTCTATACTTGGTTTGAAGTACTATGATTATCTTATTTATTTATTCTGTGTTGGCTTTTCATCTTTCTTTTAATTAGGCGACTTTATGAAAGCTGCAGAAGTCTAAATTAATTAACAAAGAGAGAGTAAGTTTAGGATATGAAACCATTAAGACTAAAAACTTGTCTGAATAGCGTAGAAATCATTGAAAAATCAGTATTCTGCAAAATGTGTCTTTAAACCTTTTCCAAACATAAAATACGTCAATCTCTTTCTTCTAGTTAAATTATTTTGAAAACAAAGGGATTCTGACGATAAGCCGATAGAAGGAGAAAATATTACGAAAATGAAAACTATCACCAAAATTGTTGTCTTTTGGTCTCATAATCACTTTGTTCAGATGTTACATTACCTGGATTATGCAAGCTGCTTTCGTTTTCTTGTCAACTTCTAAGCGTAACTTTTTCAATTCCTTTTGCGCCAAATGTATCCGATAGGCTTGCTTAAAATTAAAGTTTCGTTCGAACTCGTGTTAAACTGAATTGAAATAAATGGAATCGAGATAATTGAAGACACATAATGAAATGAACTTCGAATGTACAATTAAGAAATTAATTAAAAAGAGCAATGATGACAAACTTGTATAGTAGTAGCAGGTTGGCATTGCCTAACAATCATGTCGATTGTCGATTACTATACAATTTCCAAAAAGCCTGAAATATCAATGAGCTTAGTTTAAATTTAAGATTGAAATCCGATTCTACGATCTGAAAAATGTCAAATTTCGCAGAAAACACTCAATCATTTGTAAATTAAATAGCTTTTGAGTAGCTGAACGCCTTGCATGCGATGAGTTGGTCATGTAAATTAATACAGCAAAAAAAATCAGTGGAAAGGGAAATATCAGGTGTGACAGGCTTATGATGATAGAAAAAGTTTTAGGAGACAGACCTGACGCGACGTTATCCATGTTAGTAACATTCCAGTCGAAAAGGATGTTAATATTCAGAGCCTGTGGGAATAAAAATTACGGATGATGTTCTTTAGTGCGATCGAATAGATGAATCGTATGTAACGGCAAGCAATTTATTTATCAAATATTGTTACCGGATTCCATCCTTCAAATTAAAAGCAAATTTGATTGGAACAGAATGTTCTCAGCAACCTTTAACGATTACCCAAAGTTTGCAATTTATCCTTTCCCTCACCGTTATTTATTTATTTACCTAATAGTTACTGTGTTCTATTTGCTCATACGGAATTCGTTGTACACACAATAACAATGGCTGATTATCGCCAGTCAAGTAAATAGATTAGTAGCAACAATACCAGCGAAACAAAAAAGAAGGCTAGCTAAATTTGGTTAACTTTTCCGTGGTCGTCCACGCACAGTTACTGAAAATTAGTGAGTAGAAGAAGAGAAGTTAGAGCATCTTATTTTACTCATTCCATAAACAATCCTTAATTCTTCAAAAACACATCAATCAGTAATGTCATCAGCCTTTAGTGATATCGATAAATGCATTAAAAATATCATTAGAAGAGGAAGTTGGAAAAAGAAAGAGATAGCTCACATCAGGTGCTTAAACCCTCTCTTCTAATTGATGTAACTGGAAGCAAATAGCGAAAAAGTATCAGTGAAATAGTGAAGTTAGTGGATGAAGATCTAGCAGTAAAATAATCCTCTGGAAGGAAGACACATCGATCAAGTACTCATCCAACGGTTATCAATATGACTCAGAATTCGAAATAAAGTCTCCAAATTACCCTATTCTGTATGTAAACATTGGGGAGATCTGGCTGATAAGAGCCTTTTTCAGTGCTGAACAATAACGAATGATGGATACTGACAGTTTTGAAAACTAACGTGAGGTCAGGATAAAGCAGGATTTTTTACGTGACATGCGAACTGAAATCAGCTACATTTTTTGCATCTGGAAACTATTTTAAACTACAAATTGAAGTTCGACGAGATTGAAATTCCTTTGTTTATAACTTGATGAAAATCTTTTCACCAATTCTAGTAGTCATAATTGAGCGAGAGGGGAAAATGAAAGATCAACAGACTTACAGTGATTGGTTTCATATCTTCTTACTGAACAAATGACGTACCCAAAGATAATATGGAACCAGAATTGAGGATTAATATTTAATTAAAAAGAGTGTTTTTAATACGTTGGAGTGTACAGCTCTGGAAAAGATCTCGTTTATTTTAAGACAAACGAAATAAATAAATGGCTGACATCAGTGCGAGAACAATGAAGAGCGAAAAAATGAGCAAAATGATCGGTACCGCCCGAACTTATTCCGAGTTTATCAGCTTCCTGTTCGGTAAACTTTAAAACTTCCAAACAATTCTTTTCACTCTATTTGCTCGATAAATAAAACACACATATGAAGCAACAAAAGCGTCCAACCCACCAATTTACTTCGCCTTCGTAATAATTTCGATCAGCTTATGGGCCTGTTGTGTGCAGCACAACTGTCAATCACTCTTGAATCAAGAAATTAACTCATATAAGAAAAGGACGCACTGCGCAACTTCTTTGCATTTATTATACAACCGCTTAATCGCTTGGATCACAGGTCTCTCAAGTTACGATTTCGTGAAGCCTCGGAAAACTAATCATTTTCTTAATCATGTCCGGAATCAAACTTTTGTTGGTAAATGTTTAAATGACTTATCGAAACAACCTTCCCAACCTATAACTAAGTCCAAAAAACTTGTTACGATAGTACAGCATGATGCTGATTGTCAGTAATAATGACATCATATTCGATTTATGCATCATTCAAGCATAATGGTACTTCAAAAAAACTAACAAGTTTGTTGTCGAAAGGGCAAATGAAAGCACAAAGAATATGTATGACCGATCAAATGGATCCATTAGTGAAAGAGGGCGGGGAAGGGAATCCATTTTTAAGTTGGAAAGTCGGTAGCTATGAAAGAATGAATCAGTTTATCAACATATATGCTTTTAGTTTAATGTTGAGATCATGTATCGCTGTACTGGATAATTTGCATCGAGCAATGTAGATATATTACAAATTGTATGATTAGTATTTTCTTTTCCATCAAATGTTTTTTCTTATATCTAAATACTTTCTGATAATTCCATAAACATAAAAATATGTAATATTTTGATACGGTTCTATAAGTTTTAAACTAGTATGATAACAGGAAATATGAAAAAATGCCACTAGTTTCCAAACAATTCCTGCAACCATTCAAATGTGCTTATTTCTAGATCTGTCAAGATTTATTAATCATAAAACTAGAATCATGGTAATAATCGCAAACTTCTCATAATAAACCAATGAATGTTAAGCTTCCAACATACTATTTTCTTTTTTAAAGCTTAGTTTTAAAGTACTTGAGAACTGAAAATTAGCCACTTCCTACAATCACAGGATGCCTATGACCTGATTTTCATTAAAAATCCGTACTTTTAACAAAAAATCAATAATTATGAAAGCAGGAAAAAAGAAAGCAAAAAAATTTGATCACTTCCTAGCTTCAACCATGATGATATGATAACCGAATTGCGTTCTTACTGGTGGATCAGTATACACGGGTTTATCAACAGTACTGTTCGGAAGAGCAAACGCAGCATCCTGGAATGCACCTACCATCGATCCACGAATCATCCAACCGAGATCACCCTGAATTAGTGTAAACCATTGATATTAAAAAGACTAAAGCAACGCAGCAAGCGTTGCGAATGTTCTACCATGTAACATGTTCTTGAAATCATCCACTGATAAGTGTTTATCAAAGATTAGAGACATGATGAGTTGGGAACAAATCCTATCATTGTCATCACCGGTACTACTTGAATTAATGAAAATAAAAAACATTAGCTTGTGAATCGCTCGTTTTCAGATTCGAAAGCTAACAATAAACGTACTCCCGATTTAGCCTTATCTTCACTGTAATCCGCAGCTACTTCGTTGAACTTCGAACCAGATTTCAATTTCTCAATGGCTTCCATTGCCTTCCCCTGCAGCAAAGTCTTCACATGTTACTACCACGGTTTAAACACAACCAACTAAAACACCCCAGGACAATCAATGGTGTCACTGTCTTCTAGAAAAGATAGCGGAAACATTCCAATAAAGGAAAAATTACATGTTTTTCGCATAAAATATGTCTGACTTTGATCGCGGTACCACCTTTGCATTCCTTCTTTCCCACATTACCTTTTTTCGAAGCGCCACTTTCAGCAGCACCCTTTTTCGATGGCATTTCCAAGCTGCATCAAGCTGTTAACCAAATTTATCCAATCATATGAGTAATCATGATCAAAATAATTCTCGAAATGAACAATTCACAAAATTCCGAATCAGTCACTGGATTGATCCGAAATTTTGTAACTTTGCAGCGACATACTACATGTTGGAATCTCTTACTTTCACTTCTTGAGAGATTACTAATAGTGCTATTTATAAATCAGTCTATTAATCATCAGCTCGAGACAACCATACAAATCTCTTAATTGTAGCTAACAAAATACAATAAACTCTAAAACTACGAGATATTTCCGAAGATATCGCTGTTATATTTTAAGCTACTATAATAGCTACAGTAGCGAGTGGATTGAGTCAAGTTCTATAAAAGTGACTCATTTAATACATGAACATGAGAGATATTTTGAAATGCGTTCATAAACATGCTTCAACAATTCGAATCCACTCTTTCTATTAAAAAATTTAGCTTTAGATTATTCAAGAAAGAATATAGATAAGAGAGATTCGGTTCTCCAAGAATAACTTTAAGAACGTCCAAAAAAATCATGAACATTTATGAAAATGAAACAGAAAAATGCAAACGACAATTATCAGGTTCAACCATCAGTAATTTCATATAATGAATCAAATTTATAATATCAAAATAACTTAGTAAATGTTAACACAAAATGAAAAAGAAAGCAATAATTCGAATTTTATTAAATCCTAATTGAATATTATTGGATTTGATGCATTGAAGCAGATTTTTTCAAATCCATATCTGTCTGACATTAATCCTTAAAATTCCATACTATAAAGATAAACATGATCAGAACGAAAAACGATTGCATGACCCCAAGCCAGGAAAAAATGAAATATACAATTCATTCAATATACAGGATAACTTGAACAAGCTATTGAGAATTCCAGTACAAATCGTGAAACATCAAGATTCCAAAGAAATACGTTGAAAACATCGTGCAACGTCAGCTCTTGACGAAGAAGAGAAAGAGAGCAAATGATTAGTTTGTAGCCACGAGATCAAAGCTACTAAACCAGGGCAACGAAAATCTTATTAGAATCTCCTCAAATAAAAAAATATGCTCATACTGATAAAAGCAGAAGTATTTCATTGTTTGAGCTTGCAAACATCCTCATATGGTAAACGTAAAACTCTTCCTTTAGCGAGACTTTCATCAAGGCGTAAGATTACAGCAAATTTCTTTTCTTCAATCGCCTGCAATACAGCTTTCGTTCCACGATATGCTCCATTAACGACCAACATCTCACGTCCCACTGCCGGTATCACTGTTTCCACATTTTCTTGGCTAATCTTCAGTGAACAGCCTAAATAAACTTGCTAAATCATCTGGCAGATTTGTACAGAAATGATCACCTGTGCTGATGGTGCTTCTTTACAGTCAATGCACATAATTATTTCCTGTGCAAAAAATCTTCGAAATTTTAATTATTAAACATGATATTAAATAACTTATTACTAATCTAATAAAATTCTAAAATAAATTAATAAACACGGCACACTTCATAGTTCGTGAATAATGAAAAACTTCAGGGACATCATTTTTATTCTCAAAATCTATACAAACTAGGCATGTAATGTAAAAACCGATACAAATTTTGGATGCTAAGTTGCATAGAAATTGACAACTCTCGAAATTTTAAGAATACGTATCACCAAGTGGCAATTATTGTACAATTGTGGACTGTCTCGTCATAAGGAACAGGAATAACTGAAACCTGGAAATGCGCAATCAAACAAACAAACAAACCGTTTACATCCAGAATGGCGGTGAAATCGTCCACCAACTGTTTTATTACACCTTTCGATTTGTAGAAATCATTGCCAAATTTTTTTGTAGTAATCTAGAATTTGAAAAGCAAAATTTATGATAGAAATTTATATTGAGTGGATAGGACAACGTAACTCTCCAGTACTACTCATTCCGTGCCAGCTAACAGCATAGACAGAGACATGCCCCGGATATCTTTATGGAGATTCTTGAAAAATGGTTGCGGTATTAACCACTGTCAAACCATTATTATCTTATGTAACTACAACACATCATGAACTGATACATATTCCAGACCTCTATTGCTATCACATCACAAATTCATGATATGTGAAGTCGGACTTCATGCAAACTTTATGTATATACTTGTTCATAAAAAGGGAAAAAATAAACAAATACTCACTTTTACAACAATCCCTTCATGAAGCCAACTATCTCGTCTATTTCGCTTTTCCTTACGACTTTCTTCCATTTCCATAATTTCATCCAAGGCACTCTTTTTTTGCTTCAAATCTTGTTTGCGATTTTTATTTGATCCAACAGTCATATCATCTAGGAAATGCAAACAGGATAATAGATTTAAAAAATATGAACTTATCTATCAAAAAACAAGTTCTAATTACGAAATCACGAATAATATTTCTAGGAAAGGAATATTTATATCAATCAGTATCAGCATAACGCCTTTACATATGAGTCGAATGAGTCACAACTAAAAGATACAAGAAAAAGTCAAACAAGTACGTGTAACTATAAAATTAGCATATCAAAAAAAATTTAATTCACGGCCACCTTTCATTTCTATCTTCGAAGTTGAAATGTTTGGAAAGATATCCTTGTGTTGATGCTTTTTGGGCTTGTCCAGCATTTCCGGTTCAAATTTTGTCTCTTTTTTGATTTTAGTATCAGATATGGAATAAGACGTCGCAAGAACTGGCGCACCAGGTTTAGCAAGTTCCTATAAGCTAACGTTAATAAAAAAATACTGAATCAAAAAGCTAATTCACTGGAAGCTGTTAGCAAGCATTGGGAGCCATTATTTGACTAATTGCTCATTTACTTCCAAAGATGAAAATCCCAACGTCACCAAAATCAGAAAAAGACTTTAATAATGATCCAGAAACAACAACTCATTGTCTAAATGGACCCTGATTAATCGATCAATTGATTACTATGAAAAGTTTATCAATACCAAATCTAATAATTGATTATTACTCTTATGTCTAAAGGTACCAACAAAATCAATCTTGTATAGTATATATGGATGTCATTTGTTCAAGAGAAAGTTCATTCTTACAATAGAAATGTAATTACTGCTCACCTCATTAGTTGATTTCTTTGTCGTCAAAGAAAAAATTATTTTTTCATCATCATTGATACGAAATAACTCCGTTGGATGGCTTTCCTTTTCTTTTAATGATTGCTGTTGTTTCTCACGAGCCCTTCAAAAGGTGTCCATTTTTTGCAACTGGGTAAAAGTAAAAGTTGGAAATATATTCTATTTCAATTGGTATTTTGCTCTAGTTCTCAAATTTAAATTCAACATAATGAATTATAATTGATCGAAAAAAGTGACGGTTCAAAACCTGCCTCAAAACTAAAGAAGCGCTGCCTAGTAATGCATTCATACCTTTCTGCTTGTTCACTCAACAACTGTTGTAATCGTTCTTCATCATCATGTATTGCTTTAACCTTGTGCAATGTTTCTTGCTTTCTGAGCTCTTCCTGTTGATCAATCCATGCAATAAACCAACCTAAAAGATTACTTTGCCCATTTCAGAGATCCCCAGGTGAATATGCAGGAGAGAGATTCAAACAATTATAAAACTGATGTTGTAGAATGTCATTTCAATTCCATGCACGACTATAAATACGGCAAAAATTAGAAAAGGTTTTTTTGATTAAGAACTGGTAAAAGAAAGAAATACAGAATGCATAAACAGCATCCAATACATAAAAAAAGTGAATCATACAGAACGAAGCATTAACCTTTTTCTGTTTGATCAACGTGGCATTTGCCAGATTTCCCAAGATAAATAACAAAATTCGTTAAAGTATGCCATTTTGTGGAATTCATATGTGTATGCATTTTATCACGGATGTATTCCTGATAAACTTCATTGGCGCGAACGCGTTTCGTACCAAAAGTACTTCGTAATACCTGGGAAGAGATATATCGATGAATCACTTTTTAGCAATATTTTCCTCTCTCCATGCCTTTCTTTCTCTCGCTCTCTCCCTTTGTTATTCAGCCAAGCTACACATCTGGGCTGGTATCACATCTCAGAAGTATGATAATACAAATAAATCGGACTAGTTCATCATTATTACACTGAGGGAGAAGAAATTTTTGACGATTATAATATGGTTAAGCAGTGTCAAACATAATAAAGATATATTGCTAGAAATTCAACTCAAACCGGGAGGACAAAATTAAACCGGTTGATTAACTAATAACTGTGCTATTCAAGGAATTAATAAGTAAACTAGCAGGATGATATAATAAACAGAAGAGAATATTTCGTGTAGAATCGTGTATTAACATGTGCAACCTACATAAAATCAGAGGAAAGAAACAAAAAAAGAAAGTGGTCAAATAAACCTAAAAAAGGATTCAAAAACTGAAGAAAAATCTATGTAGCAGCAAAACAGTAAAGCACTACCTTCAAAAAGTTATTTTCAAACTCTTCACTGTACTCCTTCAGGTAAGTGTCTGGGTTTTCGGCAAACAACAACAACTGTCGCTGATGAGTTTCACTTGTTAAATGACATTTGAAGCCATTCTGGTCGCGACATTGCTTCTTACACATCTGGCAAAACCTAGAATAATACAGCAGATGGATCAAAGTATAGTGAATACAATAAATAATGTGAACATACCATCTCAGTTTTTGCAGGCCCTTTGATTTGCATCGATTGGCAATTTCTTTCGGTGTTCCTTTCTCATATTTCCCCATTACTGGAACACGTCAGAACACGCGAAGCACGCCGCAACTGGAAACACGAGACAGCACGAGAAACGTCCCACCACCTCCTCGCACCAGGTTTCAGCTTAATTTGCGACAACTAAAAACGCAATCCCACAGGGCAGTGGCATCGTCAAGGAGGATCCGCTGGTTTCACGCGTTACGCATTACGTTGTTCTGTTTACGCAAATGCAGCTGACTTTTTTTTTGAAGGTTTTAATGGATGATCAAAACATAACTGCTTGCTAACGGGGAACGAAAAAATACCAAAAAAAGCGTTTAATCGTTTATTCGTTTCCATCGAAAAAAGCATTTTGAAACTAAAATTAATTCTCATCTGAATTCCTTCCATTTAGAACAGAAACTTTGCATTTTCTTTTTTCTTAACAACGAGCCTGAATAGTTCCAATCCTGAATAGTTCTCAGGTTATGTATAAGCGGTCATGTATAATTTACAGTTATGGTTGAGAATTCACGAATTCTCAGATTGTGTAGGTCGATCACTTTTGCTAGAACTACACCATTCCTCAGATGAACAGCATTTCTCTATCGATGGTGATATGATACATGAAGTGGTTCACTCACTCAGCTGCCAGTCCAATTCCATTGAGTGGAAGAAAAGTTGTACTCGTTGACCTGTTTAACACTGAAGGAGGAACCGTTTAATTTTCCCTTCTCCACGTGAAAAAGTGAATTGAAGGAATGGATGACTCAGTGCGCTCGATATTCCGTTTCTGATCTGTGCGACGAAGGTTTCAGCAATGTAAGTTATTGGTGATAAAGTTTCATTCATTTCGGTTTCGTAGATACGAACTTGCTACTTTCACATTAGCTGCAGAAATAAAAGAAATTCATTTGTATTTTTTGAGCAAATTAAAACGAACAAGTGAAAATGTGAGCCAATTTGAAGGGACATTTGATGCATATGCAACGAGGGACGCCTTTTTTCTCTCAATTGTGAGCAATAAATCAAATGTTTTTAATTGGAAAATGAATAAACACTGCAAAGAGGAAAATCATTCTAATTCAATTCCATTGAATTTTTAAAGGATGAGAAAGTAACAATCATATTTAACCATTATTGTTTTCTCAAATATGTTACGCTCTTTGCTGCTGCTAAAAATGCAAGGAAAGGTCATTGACCCACCCAGCATGTTCTTCAGCTCACTTTTTGTTTATTTTCCGAAGGTCTCATCATCTCATAATGTGTCAGCTCTGTTCTTGTAATCACTTATTTCTATCATTACAAGCCTGAGCTATTGAATTGTTGTTATTCTGGTGCCGAAGTCGGAAGTTGATTGCTGTGTTTTTCGATGTTTTATTGAGACTTTATTTAGTAGATTCCATTAAGCGAACTAGAACAAAACAAGAAATGGACAAGCTGTCATTTTAATGAAAATATATTTTGTTGAAAAATTTTACTCACTCGTGATAAACAGAAAAATCATTACATTATGGAGAGGAGTCTGAGAGAACAGGACTGAAAATGGCCAGGTTTAAACGAAGATTTGATAACTATCTCAACATAAAATGAAACAGCAATCAATTTAGTTTCCAATTAATTAGTTAGTCAGCTCACCTTAGCAGTCTGTTCTAAAACTTTAGAATTTTAACAGAAAGAAATGTGCAAATAGTTTGAATCACAACAATTCGGCAAGAAAATATTATCTACTCGTTGTTTCCAGTAAAAAAAAGTTTAAAATCAGGAGTTATTGCAAATAAAGAGGAACTCGAATTTTAAAAGATACTTTCTTCTATATATTCATTACTGACAAGCAGTTGAGTGATGCTTATCATTAAATCATATGTTTCCAAGTGCTACGTTAATACATTTGCATAAAATTATTTTAGAGCGAAAAAAATGACTTGAATTTCTTCCTTTTCAAATTTTTTTGAAAATCTATAATTTTGTTGTGCAAAATTTGATGAATGACATCAAATTATTATAAGGAGAGCGATAAAATTTCAGTTGTTATATTTTCAGGGAAAAACTTGTCTCTGGCACTATTAATCTGTGAACTGTATAATAGCCATCGAACATCATCAGCAATTCAGAAATTGCCTGTCATTTTCTGACTGTTGGGGACTCCTTTTTGTGGGTGGATTAATTATTTCTGTGACATATAATTCGAGCTGTTCAGAACCGGATGTCATTCTCTGATGTAAGTACGAAAAACTGGATTACTTTTTCTCTTACATCGTCTCTATAATATATCCCAGATCGGCGATATTGGCAATGGCGTTTGTTCCGAACGGTATAAGTAATCATATCTGATATTGTGACAGTTTAGTCCGACCTTTGATTTTCCGCCCTCTTTTCGGACTTTACTTCAATTACTTCATCATGCTCTCATTTTGTTCCATTTCTGTTTCTGTTTCATGAACAAAATAAATGTACCAAAGAAAATGGAACTTAGAAGAATGATAATTGCAAAATGTAACACTGAGTAATTAAGAGAAATCCTATCGACAATCATATACTTATCCTTCGAATGCATCGCTGACATTAAAAAAGTTTGTCAACCCTATTCGCTGGTTTCAATTTTTGTGAAAAAAAGAAGAGGCTCTCTTCGATTTTTAAAAGAGGGAAGAGTGAATTAATAATGGAAAAGACTTAGAGGAAGACGTAGGCCGGATGAATATGCATGGATCAGAAATAAGTTGAAGGGGAAATGAGTGAGGTCATGGCTGCTGAGAAGGTCGTGCGAAGAAGATGAAGAGAAAATGGAAGATCAGAAAGTACGATTACATAAAAAAGCAAAGTTGTTGCGGTAAAATGTCGCGGGTAGTCGTCCTTGTCGTATCCCATTCGACTCCTCTTCCCCTTCCTCCTCTCTGTCATCGTCACAAAACTGAATGTGTTTTCGATGCTTTTGAAAGTTTGCTTCCACTTCCCCCCATTTTGTCATCTCTCCATTTTTCTATTTGAATTTCCAAATCCAAGCAGTCAGACAAAGGAAAATTTGGAAAAATTGAAATTCCTGATTTAATTATGCAGTTTTGATCTATTTTGCAACTTCCTTCCGTCAGTAATTACTACTATCTATTGCCTCGTCTTCTTTGATAACACATGCTGATGGAGACTATCGCTAAAAAGTTCATAGATCAACTACGAATATAAAAGTTTCATTTAAAAATTTCTGTTTGTGCATGCATGTTTGAATGGAAATTATTCATTTAGGACATGGAGAACAAATTTCAAAGAATAGCATAAATTTAAGAGAGTAAGAAATTTTATCCAATTTCCTCCTCATTTTCATCTTTTCTTCTTAGTTTAATTAGGTTGAAATTGTAAGTGGAAAAGTGATTCAAATTTGATATCCTTCTATTTAGGACTAGAGACTGGTAAGGTAAGAAAAGAAACATGGATAGGTGACGAGAATTCCGGTATCTCGTGGTGTCAACAAGAAATTGAAATTTTGGCTTAGCCTTTAGTTTGCATACTTGATCTGCTCCGCTTTTAGTGACCATCTCAGCTATGGGTAAGCGGAAGCTTACATCGATCCACTATCGCCCACTACGGAGAATGAGAATATCAATTAACCTACCATTACCTAAATGTTTAACTGTTACACTCTCGGAAACTTCTAAGCATTACGTGATGGTACCAAGTTACACTAAGATAGACATAGTTTTTCAATGAATAATCATTTTATAAGTGGTCATTTATTGATTGGCAGACGGAACAAATTGCAAATGCATTTTAGGGCCGAAAATACCTGGGAGAAGTTAAAACATTTGGGTTAAATTTGAGTAATTTCTCGTCCTGAAAGCATCTCTTAATTTCTTTTTAAATGAGTGTATTACATTTTTCGACTTGCCTTTTTTGTGTTTTCAGCTATTTTTTTGGAAAGACTGAAACTACGGCAAATGCATTTTTGCTCTGTTGTTCATCCGAAATTATTCCTTCCACTGCTTAACTTTTACGGAACTGAAGGAGACAAGAATTGACTTCATCTGTGGTTTAATTCGAAAAAAGAAATGAAAAGTAATATGTCTCATCTTTTTTGCAAAATTCAATGCTGGGTGTGTGAATTACTGATAAAGTTGTCAAGATAAGATGTGACGAATGCAATCATAAGGATAAGATCACAGTTCGAAGAATGAAAAAAGCAGAATTAATTTCATATCTTGTCTTGTCTAGAATTGCAATCAATATCCTTTATCATGCCTCCTAAAACGTTGAAGACATGCTTTTTGTCATCGAGACATATGATCTATGTCTGGTAATTAAACTTATTACTAAAAAACAAAGTAATTCCAAGTTTCTCCAAAGCTTACAATTAAAATTGCATAATTTTGACATGCTCCTTTAGCATTAATTGTCAAACTTGCGGCAAAGTGCCGGAATTATTAGAAGAAAATGAAATATCATTTCTTTATTCATCGCAAGATCTCAGTTTGTTTATCAAAAATTTTTTAAAAAATTTAAACTTTTATATGGTTAATAAGAGAGAAAATGTTTATTCTAATCAAAGATAGACATTAACCTGAACCATTTGTTTTTCCAATAACTCGAATTTCAACGACATATTCAGTTTTTAGTTGTTAAATATACACCGTAGTGAACCGAATAAGTGTACGAGTTACAAAAAGAATTTTTTAGATCGTTCTTATTTTGGGATTTTGAAGGAAGCGGTAGTAGGCGAAGTGAGAGAAGGAAGGAAGGAAAAAAAGTGGTGGAAAAATGAAATTAGAGAATTTGCTGGTGATGATGTCGGATTGAAATGTAAAATCAAATTGGCAGCTAACAATACAGTAAAGCCAATATCAAATAAGGCAGATAACCTTATCCAGTGGGCGGACAAGAAAGGATTAAATAAGTTTTAAAATTAGTGTGA